CACTGGATTCTTGCCTCTTGTTTTCTCTTATTTTTCCATACCTATTCCTTTTGTCGGGCTTTAAGTGATAGTCACAGACTGAAAATTCCAAAATGTGTATACTTGCAGCTCCAATTAACCTCACATTCATGGATCCAAATGCTTAATCAAATTATCATATCCAAAGTTGAGTGTCTTTTGTTCTTTTCATGCACCCAAGTTGCCCCTTAGACTTTCCAAATCTAAAAAACTGGAAACTTCCCTTACTATTGCTGAAATAACTTTAAACTAACCCTTTACTCTTCTATCATACCAAATAGTCTATCCAACAGTCAATACATTCCCTCTACTTCCAAAGAGTTTCCAAAATCAAATCACTCCTCACAGCCTCCACTTCTACTAACTTTGCCAAAGTACCTATCATCACTCACCATCACCACCACTATTGCATTATACTCTTGTCTTCCCAAACCTAGTCTGGCCCCATACAGCCTATTCTCAATGCCACAGGTAGAGAAAAGGGCTTAAAACACAATTAATTGGGGCCGGTGCTGTGGCGCAGCAGGTCAAAGCCCCGGCCTGGAGCACCAGCATCCCATAGGGGCACTGGTTCTAGTCCTGGCTGCTCCTCTTCTGATTCTGCTCTCTGCTATGGCCTAGGATAGCAGTGGAGGATGGCCCAAGTCCTTGGGCCTCTGTACCCATGTGGGAGACCTGGAGGAGGCTCCTGGCTCCTGGCTTCGTATTGGCACAGCTCCGACCGTTGTGGCCATCTGGGGAGTGAACCAGCAGATTGAAAACCTCTCTCTCTCTCTCTCTCTCTCTCTCTCTCTCTCCATTTCTATCTCTCTCTGTAACTCTGTCTTTCAAATAAATAAAAATAAATCTTTAAAAAAATACAATTAATCTCCTCTCTTGGTGTTGAATTAAAATTGCCTTAAACCAACCTCTGTATTTAGGTGTTAACTGTGTTCCAAAGCCCCCTGTATACATAGTGAACTGCCACCTAGCCAGACGTGCAGGGAAGTTGTAACCTACTGAAGTGTATTTACCCTCTAGTAGGCAAGCAAGTGATCCTCAGCCAATGCCAGGATGGAGGCTGCTAATTTACACCCAAATAAGGTAAAATCAGAACTGTGCCAATCAAGTAATCTCCCTATATCTTTTCTTGTATTTTATTTGTTTGATTATAAATACAGCTCATCCCATTACAGGTGGAATTATTTTGAAACATATTTTGTTGAGAATGCTTTCTCAGATGTTTTCCCTGTTTGATTAACTTTGGAAAAATTTCGGTAGTCTCAAAGTTTTTCTTTGAACAACAATATTGTTTAAATCCCTCCCCACCAAAGCTAAATACTTATGACCTCTCAACCTTTTCAGTAAAGCCTTCCCCAGACACCCTATTTGAAAGTTTAACCCACGTGCCCTTAGCTTTATATTTTTGCTTAACTCATGAATCAGCACCCTCAGTCCTAGTGCTAAGTATACTAGCCACAACAATCAAACTACAGGTCCACAAAAAAGAGTCAGTACACAAACATTCTCGGCAGGTTTTACCATAGGAGCCAAAAGCTGCGAACAAGCATCAAGAGCTTCAACGGGAGCATGGAGAAAGCATGATATATTTGATATATGTGGACTGCTACACATGCAAGCACATATGGATGAGACCAAAAACATTCCTGTTGCAGTTCACAGAGTTTCCACTAACATGATAAAATCAGAAACACAATCAGCACTAATCCGCCTCTCTTTCCATTTTCTTTCCAGACACGAAGTAAATCCCTCTTCCCATAACTATATAGATGGTGCTTGACATTATAACTTATTGTCCTTGGACATGCAACAGCTGTTTCCAATCATCTCAGGTGATGATGGAGAGGTATCAGATATTCCTGGCTCAGCCAGCACACTTGGCAGGCCAGTTGTCAATGACGTGGTCTATGCCACAGCCTAAAAAGGCAAGATTCTGCTGGGTCATCAGGAGGGCAGGATCAGTGGGAAATTGGGGATACTATAGATTATGTTTACATGAAACATTTAAGGTAAAGAGCAGCTCAGTACAGCACAAAATGTTAAGCCATGGTACCCCATCACAGAGGGTAGAGATCAGTACTGATGCTCTTTTTCTGCTCTGCTCCTGCTCTTGCTATGGTGTAAATCCACAACTCCTTAGATATTTGATCATTTGGTAATTTTTTTAATTGCAGTAAAACCTTTTAACAGCATTAGAAATTCACATGCCCAAGATTGTGGGATGAAGTTGTTGCCTTTTAGTAACAAGTATGTATTGGTAAAATGTTTAGACTACAATTAATAAAATTTATTTTTATGTAAGTTGTTTGTTCTACACCAAATGTAGTACTGTCACTGTGATTATATGGTGATAGTAGAAGAACAACTGGATGCTGTTCCTAGGATCTTCTAAGCAAAAAAAACTAGTATAACATCTTGTCCATAGTTACTTCAAAAACTATGTTTTGGGCTTTAATTTTTGTATAAAAAATAAAATATATTTACAAAAAAATTTAGTGCCTATGTGAATAAAAGTACATTAGTAACTGCATCCAATAAATAAAAATGCAACAAATGATAGCACTAATTAAAAAAAAACATTATAAAACTGTTACTTGCTGCACATAGTTTTTAACTTCAAAAGTACACTTTACATATTAGAAGATCACTGATCAGGGCAAACTATACTGGAGAAGAAGTTTTAGCACTAACACCCTCTCGTTAAATAAGCATGCTTCAAATATGACCCTGGAAATGATGACTTTAAACATCCCTAAATACAATTAATAAAAACCTTTAAAGCAGGTCATACTTAATTTTAAATTAAAAAAAAGTTCATTGTACCTGTACAAACAAGATCTAGAGAGAAGTAACACGTGTGATTAGTACAGTCAGTAGCACCCAGTAGAGAGTTAAGACAGCCAAATGAAACTCTCCTATATGTTTCTGAAGGTCCACTGTTAGGGGAGTTACTGCTGTCAGCCACCACCTGAAAAATAAAGAAAGAGTAACTCACAAATAACCAAAATTTAAAAGAAGCATACGCTGAAGTCATTGTTGTTCAAGAAATACTTGAAACAACTGTAATAAACATTGGTGAGTGCATTTCAACTGACAATTGCATCACAGACATGAGTTCATAAAATAATGCCTGGGGGCCTGTGCTGTGGCACAGTGGGTTAACGCCCTGGCCTGAAGTGCTGGCATCCCATATGGGCACTCCTCTTCTGATCCAGCTCTCTGCTATGGCCTGGGAAAGCAGTAGAAGATGGCCCAAGTCCTTGGGCACCTGTACCCACGTGGGAGACCGGGAAGAAGCTCCTGGCTCTTGACTTCGGATTGGCACAGCTCCGGCCATTGTGGCCATCTGAGGAGTGAACCAGTGGATAGAAGACCTCTCTCTCTGTCTCTACCTCTCTATGTAACTCTGTCCTTCAAATAAATAAAATAAATCTTTAAAAAATTAAAATAATGTCTGAGGTTCATTATCTTTTTAGTTCATTTATTACAGCCATTTAGCAAAACTGTGCAGAGAGTATAGAGTTCCCAGTGACTCTGTATCTTATACCTCTAGTTTCGCCTATTATTAACATCTTGTATTGTTATAGTACACTGATTACAATTGAAGAGCCAATGTCAGTACATGATAAAGTCAATACTTTATATCAGGTTCACTCTTTGTGCTGTATAGTCATATATGTTTAAAATACGCTTAAGAACATTATTTGCATACTATAAGACTTAATGTACTGAAATTATTCATTTCAAAAATAAAAGATATGCTATTCCCACTCTCTAGTAGTTCACAAAGAAGAGTAAAAGACAAAAAAAATAACTTATTGAAAGCAAGTTGTGATAAATGACAAAAGCTAGTTCAAAAATTAGTTTCTGGGAATTCACAGGAGAGACAGAAGTTCATATGGAAAATATAAGAATTTCTTGGAGGAAGTATTTTGATGTTGACTGTGAAAGAGAAAGATTTTGCCAAAAAAATGGATTTCTGGATGGCATTGAGGTCAGGGTTGGAAGACATCAAGTGAGGAGAGTGCAAGACTCCTACCTTACACCTTACACAAAAATCCACTCAAAATGGATTAAAGACCTAAATCTATGACCCAACATCATCAAATTATTAAAGAACATTTGGGAAACCCTTCAAGACATTGGCATAGGCAAAGAGTTCTTGGAAAAGACCCCAGAGGCACAAGCAATCAAAGCCAAAATTAACACATGGGATTATATCAAATTGAGAAGCTTCTGTACTGCAAAAGAAGCAGTCAGGAAAGTGAAGAGGCAACCAACAGAATGAAAGAAATTATTTGCAAACTATGTAACTGATAAAGGATTAATAACCAGAATATGCAAAGATATAAAGGACCTCAACAACAACAACAACAACAAACCAGTTAACAGATGGTCCAAGAACTTAAAAAGACATTTTTTTTTTCAAAAGAGGAAATCCAAACGGCCAACAGACACATGAAAAAATGCTTAGGACCACTAACCGTCAGGGAAATGCAAATCAAAACCACAGTGAGGTTTCAGCTTATCCTAGTTAGAATGGCTTTTATACAGAAATCAACAAACAACAAATGCTGGTAAGGATGTGGGGAAAAAAGGTACACTAATCCACTGTTGGTGGGAATGCAAACTGGTAAAGCCACTATGGAAGACAGTATGGCAATACCTCAGAAATCTGAATATAGACCTACCGTATGACCCAGTCATCCCACTCCTGGGAATTCACCCAAGGAAAATGAAATCAGCATATGAAAAGATTATCTGCACCCCCATGTTTATTACAGCCCAAGTCACATAGCTAAGACATGGAATCAACCCAAGTGCCCATCTACTGAAGACTGGATAAAGAAATTATGGGGTATTTACACTATAGAATATTACACAGTGATTTAAAAAAAGTGATCATTTACAATAAAATGGTGACTCTGGGAAACACCATACTTAGTGTAATAAGCCAGTTCCAAAGGGTCAAATACCACATGTTCTCCCTGACATGTGATAACCTACAGATAGCACCTAAAAGGCTATCTGTAGAAGTGAAACTGACACTTTGAGAAGCAATGACTTGAACAGCCCTTGTCTTGACTGTTGAGGAACAATTTTTCTATACTATTTGTTGAACTCTTTACTTAACATAGAGTTAAACAAAAAAGTCAATTGATAACAGATATCAGTAAAAAATAAGAGTGGGAATAAGAGGGGAGGAGGGAAGGGGGTGAGTATAGGTGTGAGTGCAGCCATGGTGGGAAGAATCATCATGTTCCTAAAGTTGTAATTATGAAGTATATGAAGTTTATAACTGTAAAGCTGCATAGTTCTGCACACACTGTGGACTTACTTATTAGGGTCCAGTTTAAAAACTTGCCATGGGACCCCAAATACCCATAAGCTGGATGGTAAAAATACCATCTTAAGTGTTGAAGTGATTATATGGATAGGATTAAGTGTTTGGTAATAATAATAGAATTAAAATGGAGTGAATGCTCCAACATTGGAAACAGTCTACACAGAAGACTCATAGAATGACAATCGCTTTAAGTAGCACTATTTATTTATTTATTTATTTGACAGAGTTAGCAGTGAGAGAAACAGAGAGAAAGGTCTTCTTTCCGTTGGTCAGCCCCAAAATGGCCGCTACGGCCGCGGCTACACTGATCCGAAGCCAGGAGCCAGGTGCTTCCTCCTGGTTGCCCATGTGGGTGCAGGGGCCCAAGCACTTGGGCCATCCTCCACTGCTTTCCCAGGCCACAGCAGAGAGCTGGACTGGAAGAGGAGCAACCAGGACTAGAACTCGGCACCCATATGGGATGTCGATGCCGCAGGAGGAGGATTAACCAAGTGAGCCATGGCACTGGCCCCTTAAATAGCACTTTGACCTCAGAATCAGCCCTTAAAGCATCCTGGTCTGGCTGAAAAGTCCATGAGAGCATTTCAGGCATGGAAACCCAAGACACTGTGTCAAAAAATGTCCTACATGAAGGACCTCGGTGGGTGAGATCCCAGTGGAAAGAAGTAGTCATCAAAGAAGGATGCACTTTTCTCTGAAGGGAGGAGAGAACTACTTTGCTTATGGCTTTGTCTAAATACTGATGGAGTTAGTGCATTCAAAAGGCCTCCATCCATAGCCTAGGCAGCTCATGTCAAGAACCTCAGGTGATCACTGATGTCATACATAAGAGTGTTAATTGTTAAATTAACAACAAGAGTCGCTGTGCACTAACTTCCCATGCAGGGCCTCTGTCCTCAAAGAGCTGCATTATGAGAGTTAATAGTAAAACTTGTTCTTAAATATTTACTTTGTTTCAGTATATTAAGTGGAGAACATTCTTATGTCTCCTAAGTTAAAGTTATGCCTAAGTGCTGGCTAAAGATGTATCATTCTTGGGTGCTTTTAAAAAGTTAATTAAGTATCAAAAAAAAAAAAAGAAGTGAAATTAACTTCAAGAAGAATGACTTTTTTTTTTTTGACAGTTGGAGTTATAGACAGTGAGAGAGAGACAGAGAGAAAGGTCTTCCTTCCATTGGTTCACTCCCCAAATGGCCGCTATGGCTGGCGCTGTGCCCATCCGATCCGAAGCCAGGAGCCAGGTGCTTCCTCCTGGTCTCCCATGCGGGTGCAGGGGCCCAAGCACTTGGGCTATCCTCCACTGCCCTCCCAGGCCACAGCAGAGAACTGGACTGGAAGAGGAGCAACCGGGACTAGAACCTAGCGCCCATATGGGATGCCGGCGCGGCTCCAAGCAATGACTTTGAATAGCCCTTGTCTCAACTGTTGAGGAACAGTTTTATTTTTTTCATGCAATTTGTTGTACTCTTTACTTAGTATAAAGTTAATATTCTGTGTATAAGGTTAATTCAAAATAGATCTTAGTTAAAAATAAGACTAGGAATAGGAGAGGGAGGAGGAAGAAGAATGGGAGGGCGAGTACAGTGGGAAGAATCACTATGTTCTTAAAGTTGTATTTATGAAATGCATGAAGTTTGTATTCCTTAAATAAAGAATCTCTTTGGGAAAAAAGTACTATGTCTGAGGAGTAATAGTTGCTCTTGAGGGCATGAAGGATGATTTTATTTTTCATTTTATATCCTTCTAGACTTTGTACTATTTTCCTATGGTTTTAATGTTTATGCAACTGTTCACATTCAAACAAAGCAGATATCAAGCATTCCATTGACAATTACTATCTAACTAATAATAATAAAATATGTCTCAATCCTTTTAGAAACATTCAGTAAGAACTAGCAGATTATATAGCAAAACCAATATTGTAGCATGCATGAAGACAATATTAGTTTGAAACAAAATATACAGATAATGTTTTTAACATCTTAAAAAAATTCAAAAATCTAAAGAAATAATTTAAATAAAATGTATGTTGATAACAATAAAAATATTAACAGTCTGAGAAATACACTTAGGAAACCTACAGAACCTATTAGGAGAAAAGTATAAAACAATTCAAAAGCATACTAGGGAAAGATGTGCCTGTTGGAGAAAAAGACAATTTTCATGATGTTATTTCTTTCTAAATTAAATGTACAAAACCAAATCCATCCCAATTAGAACCCACCATGTGTAGTAGTTGTTGTGGTGAGTGGGAGAAATAAATACAACATTTCCTAAAACGGTACAGAAAAACTAAGAGGCAAAAATTGTCAGGAAAGTTCCAAAGACATTTCACAGGGAAATCAGGATTCCGAAAATTGAAATAAATATGTTACAATGCTTCAGTGATTTAAATCTTTGATTATAGCTTCAGGACAAGATAACACAATTCAATGAGTATGACAAGATGTCCCTACACTTTCAAATGCCTATGGGGATGCATGTATGTAATGTATGTTACAAGGGGCATTTCAGCTTAGTACAGGAGATATGGACTATTGCATTAAAAGTGTGTAGACAACAAGACAAAAATGAGCAAAACAAAAATCTGTATTCTTTTCTCAGTTGCTACGCCTAAAGCAATTCCAGGCTGGTGAAGTATTTAGAAGTAAACAAATAAATAACTTTGAGAGGGAGCACAGTGATATTTCTGTGAAGTATGCAGTGCAATAGGCCTTCGTAAGGATTCTTATTGAACCCAAAAGCCATATGGATCAGATAGACACATCTGTAAAATTAAAAAAATTAAACTCCATGAAACACAGTTCAAATACAGTCTTGGCAGGAATATTAACAAAAACACTCATGCCATAAATTTCTTAATAAACTTCTAATTTCTCTAAAATACAAATAGTTTTAATATTTCTAATGAATAAATAGCTCTAGAAAGGAAAGCTATTCCATTCAGACACTTTGAAAAGTGAAAATACAACTATGAGACATCTTTTTGCTTCTCAGATTTCCAAAGACATCAAAGCTTTATAATATTTCCATTCTTGCAAATATTGGCAAGCAGGCACTCTCACAACCTGCTATTGACAGTGTCAATTAGTACAATATAGCTGAAGCATCATTTAAATATACCCTGTAAAGTCATAAATACATATACTGAGGTAATAGCTGCATACTTCTGTAAATTTCACTTAAAATGCCATTGGTTTTTACTTATTTTAAAACTAGTGAATCCTATAAAACAAATTATACCTCAATAAAGCTATTTTTTAAAAAAAATTAGCATGCATGTTTATTCACATTGCAATTACACTTCAACAAATGTAGAAATCCATTACTTGTATGAGAAAGGAAGTACATAATCGAATAATTGTAGTTGTTAATCTCAATTTTAAAGGCAAAGAACAGATGTATACTTTTGAGAACAGAAATGCTAGAAAGATAAGAACAAATGTCCCATACAATTTGGTAAATTAGACTTCCAATTCCACTCTACAAATACAATACCAGGACACTTCAGGGAGGGTGAAAATAGAAGATAGCTTGAAAGCATTTCCAGGAATAAAGCTGATGAACTCCAAACTCACTACTCTTACACTGATGGTTTCCAATACCTGAGATGTTTCACCTTCTTCCACAACAAGAGTAGTGTCTGGCTCACTGCTCTGAGGCACATGGACAACCACATCAGCACCACGGAGGATGGCTTCATCAGTGACAGTGCTATCACCAGAGGCACTCGCCACTGCTCCCTCAGTAGTTGACAATTCGGTGTCACCTATGAGATAGGTCAACAAAAGCTTTCACAAGTTACTCTCAAAAGCAAACACATACTATAAAAAGACCTATAAGGGAAGCCGTGGGAGGCAATTATCTAAAAGTAGAAATAAAAAGTGCTAGATCTGACAATGCCAGTAGGGCAATAGTGGGTAAGTGTACAGGAGTGTGGAGGTAGAGTGTTCAGATTGAAATGCTGGTTCCACCACTTCTCTGTAGAGCACAATGGCTCACTGCTCAAGCCAGTGTAGTTGCATGGTTAAGAGCATTCTATCTAAAGGCAGACTGCCTGATGTTGAATCATGGTTATCATGTGTGTTAACTGTGGGCACAGTGGGTAATCTCTCTGAACTTGTTTCCATCTGTAAAACCAGGACATTAACCTTATAGGGCTATTATAAATATTAATGGTCACATATGTAAACTGCTTAGAACTGCGAATATTACCCACAGATTAGAGTGTAAAGGTTAGTTGTATTTATATCTAAAGAATCTTCAAGGATTGATTATTGCTGTACAGTGTTGTCATTATCAACAACAGTAGCAGTAGCATGTGGAAATGCTTAAATATCCCACCAGATAAAATATCTCACCAAATAAAGCACATAGAGATTTGGGGAGTTAAGTCTCACCCCAGTGTGCATCAGCCTCACTTGGTTTATTATGGTGTCTTGAACAAACACAGGAAATAAGTCAAGGTTTGGAATCTGAAACCAGATTGCAAACCTACACTGTGAACCACAGTGCCTTAGGCACCTCTGTAAAGGCAGGCAAATTGGTAGAATGAGTGGGAGAAATATTATTACTGATTTTGAAGTCAGAAGCCATGAAAATTCTGAAAGATTGAAACAAAGATCAAATTGTTAACTGAAACCATGAATACCAAGAAGGAGGAAGGAACAACTGACTCTCTGGCATGTGAAAACATATCAGATGTCAATGATTCTTCCATGTGTCCCTGCTGGCAAAAACAGCAATAATAGGAGACACTGCAGTGACAGGTTTCAGGCAACAGCTAAGAAACAGTTTTCTGTGGCAAACTTTGCTAAGACTCAGCCACCTCTGCTGGGGGTCCCAACTCTGATGACAGAGAAGCAATAGGGACATGCCAGTACCAGGAAGGACCGGTCCTTCCAAGAGACTACTGCTGACCAATGGGAATCTCTTCCACACCACCCTCCTGAAGGCACAGGGATTTTCTCTTGTGGACAGCAGTGTCTTCAGTGGTGGAAGCCTGTGGGTAGTAAATGGCTGAGGGATCAGAGTGTGGGTGTGAATCTGCTGGCCACTGGCTATCTGTGTGTCCCCTCTTTCCTGGCTGTGTCTCCCTGACTCTGCTGTAAAACCCACAAGGCAATCCTAGGACTTCCATCTGGAGTTTTTTAATTCATGATCTGCTTGCCCTGAGTGCTTTTGCCCATGGCATGGCACATCCATGCACTCAACCAAAACAGAATTAAAATTTGAATACTAAAATAAAATAAAATAAAATAAAATAAGATAAGCAGAATTAATGCAATTCAGAGCAGAGCAGAGATCAGCCCCAGCAAACCTTCTCACATCTAACTGGACTCCTGCCAACAAAATGTAGGCCATCTAAAGTATCCACTGGACGTACATTCAATGAATCTTGATGTGAATGGAAGGGGAGAGGGAGTGGGAAAGGGGAGGGTTGTGGGTGGGAGGGACGGTATGGGGGGGGAAGCCATTGTAACCCATGAGTCGTACTTTGGAAATTTATATTCATTAAATAAAAGATAAAAAAAAAAAAGAGGCAAAAGGGAACAAATTTAATGTGATCCCTGCCCTCTCATGAGCAACAGATATGGGGGTACTTCAAAAAATTCATGGCAGAAACAGAATTAAACAATCTATAGGAGTGAAATTGACACTTTGAGATGCAATGATTTTTAACAACCATTGTGTTAACTGTTGAGCAACTGTGTTTCTTTTTCTTCATACTAATCGTTGAACTCTTTAGTGTAGGGTTAATCTTATGAGTATAAAGTTAACTGATAATAGATCTTTGTAAAAGGTAAGAGTGGGAATTTATTTATTTATTTAAGGAGAGGGAGGAGGAAGAAGGGTGGGAATATGGGTGGGAGGGTAGCATGGGAATTATCATCACTATTTTCCTGGATCTGTATATATGAAATAGATGAAATTTGTGTACCTTAAGTAAAATAAAAAAAAAAAACCAATTTCCTCTCATTCTATCATCCAACCTCAGCGCTATCTGCAATTGCCCTTTTAAATTTCTTCTGTGTTTTCAGAAATCCTCACTAAAAGCTACTATTAAAAAGCTTCCTGGGAAGGAAAAATGCTTATTTTGGTACAATATTTTAGAACTCATATATACAAGTGTACTACCCGTCCACATGACTTCTTTTCTCTTGGAAAGAAAAGAAAAAAATAAAAGTCAAGCAGCCGGAATGAGGGCATCCCAATATCTAATATCATTCCATATTAGAGTGCCAATTCGGTCGCGGTACACCCCTTATGCCCTGTGAAGCAGCAAACGATCATTCCAGTACCTGGGTCTCTGCGCCCACTCACGTCAGAGACCCGGATGGAGTTCCTTGCTCCTGGCTGTGGCCCGGCCCTCCACCAGTTGTGGGGACCATTTGAAAAGTGGACCAACGATGGAAAATCTGTCTTTACCTCTCTAGTACACTTTTCAAATTAACAAATATTTTAAAAATAATGAAATTTTTCCTCAGATTCACAACTGTGGGCAGAGAGGAATTTCTTACAGTCACAGGGCATCGCAACGTAATTTCCAGTTTGTGGAGAAGATCAAGAGAAAAACAGCCCCTCGGGCCCTCTCTGCCTACACCATTGCCGCTTTGGACTGAAGTTTCGGAAAGAAGCGGATGCCAGTCACAGTCACCGGCACACAAAAAACCGGGGATGACCCGTCCCGTTCCACCACACCCACCACAAGATGGCGCCTGCCCCGGCCTCTAAATCTCAGAGCCTCTCAGAACGCCGCGTCAGGAGTGGGATGCGGCCCTATGGACAGGTCCCTTCTTAGAAGGGGCAGGATAGGTACCTTCCACAAGCATCACAGGCTGCACATTCTCGTCCTCCAACTCTACTGCCCCCTCGAAGACGACAAGAACCTTGGAAACAATCAGGTACATGGTTCTTTTGTCACACAGCCACTGCGTGACGGTAGGCCTGCTTCTATAGAGGTCTCTGTCCCCCTTGGCACTGCCGCCACAACAGCTGTTTGTGGCTCCGCCTTCTCCTCTGCCTGGCCCAACCTCTAGTCAGGGTCCTTTATAGGCAGTGGAAGCAGTAGCCCCCCCTGATGGCGCCCCTGTGCCCTGTGCCACCAGTCAGCTAGCTCCAGGAAACCACTGACAGACTGGCGACTGTTGGGCAGGACTTCTCGGCTCCTCCTACCACCAAGGGCGGAAATGCGTCAGTAAACCGGAAGTCAATTTCACTGGGCTCCCTGCTGTTGCTTAGTGGGGGAAGAGGATGACGTCTGTGGGATTCAGTAGGGAAGGCTGTGGAAAGTTGAGCTGCAACCTGCTGAGAATGGAGGCTGGTTCCCAGGCTCTGGATCCCAGACCATTCCCCACTCCTCATGGCCTCAAAGTCATTTTCTGTTCCTTTGTTTCTGGGCACCCTACCATCCTCCCCATCCCCATAGCTCCCTCTCTTTGTGAAGGATGCCTGCTCAGTTGTTAAGTCAAACCAGAAATACAGTGGGAAAGCCATATTTTCACATCAACTTGGGTCACCTAACATATTCTGGGCTCAGCTCTTCTTGAGAGCTGGGGCTGACTGTGGCTTTTGAGCAATGTGGTCCTGAAACACACTTTAAAATGGGTCATCACAATTGGTTGAAATAGCACTCTGACCTCAGAATCATCCCTAAGTCATTCTGGTCTGGCTGAAAAGTCCATGAGACTTTGGAAAGCCAAGACACTGTGGCAAAAAATGTTCTACATGAAGGATCTCTTTGAGTGAGACCCCAGTGGAAAGAAGGGACCACCAAAGAAGAATGTACTTTTCTCTGAAGGGAGGAGAGAACTTCCATTTTGCTTATGGCCCTGTCTAAATACTGACAGAGTTAGTGGATTCAAAAGGCTTCCATAGCCTAGGCAGCTCATTTCAAGAGCCTCAGTGATCACTGATGTCATACATAAGAGTGTTAATTGTTAAATTAATAACAAGAGTCACTGCACTAACTTCCCATGAGGACTTCTGTCCTCAAAGAAAGATGTATCATTCTTGAGTGCTTCTTTAAAGTTAATTAAGTTTCAAAAAAAGTGAAATTAACTTCAAGATGCAATGACTTTGAACACCCCTTATCTTGACTGTTGAGGAATAGGTTTTTTTTTTGGGGGGGGCGAAATTGTTGAACTCTTTACTTAGTATAGAGTTGGTCTTCTGTGTATAAAGCTAATTGAAAATGGATCTTAGTGGAGAATGGGACTGGGGATGGGAGAGGGAGGGTGGGAGTGTGGGTATGGTGTCAAGAATCGCTATATTCCTAAAGTTGTACTTATGAAATGCATGAAGTCTGTAGTCCTTAAATAAAAAGGTTTCTTTGGGGGGAATAAAAAAAGAAAGGATCATCAAGTTGATCTGACTATGAGAATGCCTATATGAACAGCAAACTCAGATGATGTAGTGCCACGCAGGGCATTGTGGCATCACTGTTGTTTTCTTTGATGGCTTCAGTTTTGGGGCTGCAGACACTAGGAGTGTCCAGTGTGCCCCAAGCCTGTGAAACACTTAGAGGCAGGACATCTACTTCTCAACCCCACCAGTAAGTAATAACTTTTTTGATATTGATAGTCTACTGTGACCCTTGCTAGTCAGGGTCAGCATGTGTGTGGTCAGCCTCCTTGTTCCCTTTTCTCACCAGCACCCGCCTTGCATTCCAGACAGCTGCCTAGGTCTGGGACTATTCTTCTGCACCTAGAGTCCCCACCCACAGTGCCCAGCGGTGCCTACACCCACCCACTCTCTGGCACAACCTAGGCCCTCTCTCCAGAAAGCCGTGCTGGGCCAAGCACTCTGGACACTAGGAGATGTCCTATGGTAAGGAAAGTGGACACATTGACCCATCTGGGATCCTACTTTCTGCAGTGCAGCCTCTGTAACCTCACTCTTCTGCCTCCAATCCTCCTTTGTTATGAATGTTTTCCCAACTTTAGGAGATTCCAGTTTCTCAATTCTCCTGGCCCATCAGCAGAGAGTTTAGTCTTCAGTGTTACTCATTTGGACTACCTTCACCACCCACTGCTCCTTGGCCCAATCAGACCCATTACTCAGAAACTTCATTGCCCCGGTTTCCGGGAACCCTATATGCCTCATCAGCCACCGGATCCCTTAAAAGCCCTCCTGCTCTAATTCTGATACAATTGCATGGGTTGTGTTTGCCTATGTCTTTTGTTACATGTGTTTTTGGTATTGTCTCTGAGAAATCACTGCCTACTCTAAGGTCACAAAGACTTACTCCTGTGCTTTCTAGGAGTTTTCTCTTTTCATTCATTTTGACTTAATTTTGTGTTTGGAATGAGGCAGAGGTCTACTTTATTCTTATGCTTGTGGGTATCCAGGGGTCCCAGCACCATTTTTTGAAAAGAATGTTCTTTTGCCGTTTGTAATAAATCAGTTGACCCTAGACATGGGGTTCTGTTTCTGGATTCTCAGTTCTAATCCACTAATCTATATGTCTACCCTTTTGCTAGTACCAAACTTTCTTGTTTACTATAGTTTTGTATTAAGTGTGAAGTTATGAAATGTGAGTCCTTAAAGTTTGCTCTTTTGCAAGATTCTTTGTTGGGTGCCTTGTTATTTCCATATTAATTTTAGGATCAGCATATTGATTTTTACAAAAAGAAATCTAGATTTTAATAGAAATTGTGTTGAATTTAAAGATCAATTTGGGAAGGATTGTCATTTTAATACTTAATCTTCCATGCCCCAAATGGTAGAGTTAGAAACATACCAGGGGACTCCAATTCAATCCCATCAAAGTGGCATGTACCAATGCCATCTCACTAGTCCAAGTGATCAATTTCTGTTCACAATTGATCATAATAAAAGGACTAAGAGTCAAAGGGATCACAAAAACAAGTCTGGTGCCTGCTAATACTAACCGATAGAATAAATAAAGGGGAGAGCGATCCAACATGGGAAGCGAGACACACAGCAGGCTCATAGAATGGCGGATGTCCTAAACAGCACTCTGGCCTCAGAATCAGCCCTAAAGGCATTCGGATCCGGCTGAAAAGCCCATGAGATTATTTCAGGCATGGAAAGCCAAAACACTCTGGCAAAAACAAACAAACAAACAAACACAGACCTAAATGAAAGATCTCTGTGAGTGAGATCCCAGTGGAAAGAACAGGTCTTCAAAGAAGGAGGTACCTTTCTCTGAAGGGAGGAGAGAACCTCCACTTTGACTATGACCTTGTCTAAACAAGATAAGAGTCGGTGAACTCAAAAGGCTTCCATAGCCTTGGAAACTCATGACTGGAGCATAGGGAGATTACTGATGCCATAAACAGGAGTGTCAATTTGTAAAGTCAACAACAGGAGTCACTGTGCACTTACTCCTCATGTAGGATCTCTGTCCTTAATGTGCTGTACATTGAGATTTAATGCTATAACGAGTACTCAAACAGTATTTTTCACTTTGTGTTTCTATATGGGTGCCAACTGTTGAAATCTTTACTTAATGTGTACTAAACTGATCTTCTGTATATATAGAAAATTGAAAATGAATCTTGATATGAATGGAAGGGGAGAGAGAGTGGGAAAGGGGAGGGTTGCGGGTGGGAGGGAAGTCATTGGGGGGGGGAGCAAATGTAATCCATAAGCTGTACTTTGGAAATCTATATTCATTAAATAAAAGTTAAAAAAATACTTAATCTTCCAATCTATAAATAGGACATATATTTTTATTTATTTAGGTCATCTTTAATTTCTGTCAGCTCTTTTAGTTCTCAGAGTAAACATTTTGCAATGTAAAATAATTTGTTCCTTCAGTGCCAGTGCTGTGGTGGAGGGTCTGTCTCTCCTCTCTCTCTCTCTCTCTCTCTCTCTCTCTCTCTTTGTAATTCTGACTTTCAAAAAAATTTTATTTCTAAGTATTTTAGCCAGTTAATGGCATTGTAAGTTGAATTGTTTTCTTAATTTCCCTTTCATATTGTTCATTTCCAATATATAGCCATACAATTGACTTTTCTTTTGTCTAAAAGCCTGGAGCTAAAATATATAAAGAACTTTGTTGCAAAAAAAATTTTTTTTAAAGCCGGCAACTTTGTTGCACTCTTGTGTTAGTTCCAGTAGTTTTTGACATGTTCCTTATTATTCTGTATACACAAGATGGTGCCATCTGAAAATATTGTCTTACTTCATCCTTCCCAATCCAGATATCTTTGGTTTCCTTTCGTTGTCTAACAGCCCTGGCGAGGACCTCTGCTACAATGATAAATAGGTATGGCAAGGTAAAATTCCTTTGTCTATCTCTGATTTTCAGGGATACATACACTGTCTTTCACTATTTAAAAAAAAAGATTTATTATTTATTTGAAAGGCAGAGTTACAGAGAGGCAGAGGGAGAGAGAGAGAGAGGGAAAGAGAGAGAGAGGGGTCTTCCATCCAATGATTCACTCCCCAAATGGCTGCAAAGGCCAGAGCTGGGCTGATCCAAAGATAGGAACCAGGAGCTTCTTCTGGGCCTCCCATGAGGGTTCAGGGCCCCAAGGACTTGGGCCATCTTCTACTGCTTTCCCAGGTCATAGCAGAGATCTGGATCGGAAGTGGAGCAGCCAGGACTCGAACCTGTGCCCTTAGGGGATGCCGGCACTGCAGGTGGCGGCTTTACACGTTATGCCACAGCACCGGCCCTCTTTCGCTATTAAGTATGATGTTAACTGCATGTGTTCCATTACCAGATTGAGAAAGTTCTCTCATGTCATTCATTTTGTGATTTTGTCATGTAAAGGGTGTTGGGTTATGTCAAATGACTTTTTCTGTTGGGATTATAGTGCAATTTTGGCCTTCATCTGAATAATAGCTGTCCAATATTGATTGATTAATTCCCATATATTTAACCAACCTGTGTTTTTGGGATAAATTCCATGTTTTGTTGTTATGGACTGAATCATGTTTAACCAAAACTCCTATGTTGAAGCCCTAATACCCATTATCTCAGAATGTGACTGCATTTGGATATCTATATTTAGGTCTTTAAAGAGGTACTTTTATGACTTGTAAGAAATCTTTCAAATTGTAAAATTTTGGTATGGGGTTTGGCACAGCAATTAAACTGCCACCTGGGATACTCATCTTGTGTATTGGGGAGTTTGAATTCAAGTTCTAGCTGAATCTCTTAAATCCAAGTTCTTG